TAATTGACCGGCAGACATCTGGCTATAGGACACTAAGCAGTCTCCCCAGTAAATGAATGAATGCATGAATGAAGGAATGATGATGCTAGGACTAAGTCTATCAATAGGTCTAGGAAGAAATCAAGAAAGTACAGAATTTTACTAAAAGGAGAATGGTCCCAGATGCCAGGCAGAGCTGACTTTGACTCTCAGCTCTACTCCTTACCAAAGAGAACAAGTTTCTAACCCTGGGTTTCACATCTGAGAATGAGAAATGACCTCACTACTTAACTCATAGCTGTATTATGAGGATCAAGATAGAATAAAAGATAAACAAACGGAAAAAAATGGAGAGCTGTCGCAGTACATAATGCACAGAAGTTACTAACTAGGTACTATTTTATCATTTACTATATTCTTTATTTCATCTTTTATTACTTATAATGGAAGCAGAGGAGGAAAGAATAAGTATTTCTTCTCACTGTGAGTCTGATAATATTTACATTTGTGGACAAGAGGGCCAAAGGGGTCTCCAGGTTTGCCCTTGCAATGAGTGGTAGTCCTTGCAGACTAGTCATTTTGATAGTGGGGAATTTTAGAAAGTCGAAGGATGCAATGTTTTTATTTGAAATTTTTGTATGAGAAGTTGATAGTGATGGATCTTAAATGATGATTTTGTTAATTCATTTAAGATACTTGTTTTGAAGACTGAGCTGATGCTCACTTCATACCAGAAATACAAAGCATACTGTTTATATTAGAAATAGGAATGTCATTTGTCTCGACTGCTATTCTTTCAGGGATTTATCTCAGGAAGTTGTAGTAGGCAATGAAATGAGTCCAACACAAGCTTGACAATTCTGGTGATATTTAGTGTTGAACTGGAAATTCAAATATCTAACAATGAGACTTGGCTTACTGCATTAGGGATCAGTGGAATATAGTGGTAGATTAAATATGATACACAGAGTATCAGGGATCTGACCTATTATTTATAGCATATTAGTGAGCCACTTAGAAGTTGAACACACATTAAACGCATAGGAGTAAATGTACATGGATAAATGTGCATTTACACACACATACACATATATATGTATATATGTATATGTGTGTGTAAATATATAAATATATAATATATATAAATATATATAAATATATATAAATATATATAAATTGTGTGTAAATATATAAATATATAATATATATAAATATATATAAATATATATAAATATATATAAATATATAAATGTGTGTGTGTGTGCGTGAGTGTGTGTGTGTGTGTGTGTGTGTGTGTGACAAAATAGGCTTTGGGTTGAGACCACTGAATCCTCTACTCTCCCCATCTGAAGCTTCCTTTTGGGTACCCATTGTTGCTTCAGGCTGTTGGATCTTCTTTGTTTTCCAGTATCCTTTCCTCTGTTGGGTTTCTGCTCACTCTATAAACATTTCTGTTACTGTTACATACACTCTAACCCAACACAGACAACTTTTCTTCAAGCATGTTGGCAATGTTCATAGTTACATAGCTGTTTTACACCAAGCTGAGACACAACTCCAAACGACGGGGAAAGGGAGGCTCACATGGATCAGAAAACTCATGAGAACTTCTAGGCTCCAGAAAATAAGACCCAAAATGCCCCTGTGCAAGGTGTAACACAGTGAACAATTCCTGTAGAGAGGATTCACCCTTCAGTGGAACTCCCTACAAGGTGGAGAGCAGGTGCAGTGGAGTCCATGCCTTACCAGGTTGAAAGACAACTGCAACCAAGTAGAAACACCAAAAGGACTTGTCCTCAGACTTTTGATCTTCATGGAAAGATTCCAAATAAACCATGTAGAGTGTAGTATATACAGTAGGCAGTGTTTAAAGGACTGAAATCAAGGGGTAGGAGCAGATGTACCCCAAAAGACCCTTGTCCTGATTGATCTACACTTGAGGCAAGCTTTGTGCTGTTCCCTAAAATCTGAATAGGCAGCAGCTATCCCATGAAGTATCTATTCTCTCCAAATGACTGACAGGTTTGTTTGGACTTCCTACTCCAGGAAGAGGCTCAGTGTCACATGTCACATGTCATAGACTAGCATGGCTTTGTTCTTACGGAAAGCCTCCTGTTAATCCCTATAAATTCCTACGACCGGCTTCAGATAGATTGGATTTAGTGGTCTTCTTAGTAGCTTGGGATGAAGTGCCTCTCCTCAGACTCTGAAGGATGGGTGACTTGGGTCTCCTTCTCTGACCAGTGATTAAATTCCTATGTTCCATTCCTTTACTGTATGCAGACTGTGAAGGAATGATCTAGCCCCATTGTCTTCAAGCCTACTAAGATTTGAGTAGCCTTCTGATGTTAAGATATATAAATGGCTTTAAGATATATCAGTGTCTCAGCAAATTTGTGCATAGGAACCTCCATGTATCAAGGAAGAATCACAATTCAATTGTATTTGTGTTTTTATATAATATGTTTCAATGTATTTGAGACTGTGTTTTGATTAAAATAACCCATAGCATTTCATGCCCTTTATTACCTGTGAATCTTCAAGGAAAAAAATGAAACTAATTTTATTTTTTTTAAAAAGTGACAAAATATATATTTAAATATAAGCCATAGTTCACTGAGGGTAAAACCATTTAAATTTATTTTCCAGTGGATTGTTATTAATTATACTTTGTTGTAAACTGCTTTAAAGCATTACATAGTATTACTTATATTTCATGGCATAAGAACTAAGGTTACAATTCAGGTGATTTGAAGTAATTTTTCCCCTCAAAATTATCAATTTTTAAGGTTTAACCGAATAAAAAAATTAACACAAAATCTTATGATCAACAAATTTGCAATCACTTAAACCATCATACCTACTAATTTGTAAGGACATAGTGAAGTTTATTATTTAATTTAAAGATTTTAAATGCTGATTAGGCAATTGGCCTTTTCTTTGAGCAGCAAGACTAAATGCTACTTAATCTTCCATCTTGTTCTATACATATTTCTAAACAAAAGGTATATTTGCTACATTAAATTATATTTGTTTATTAGAGAGACACCTATGTGAGGCGGAGCAATGCTCCTCACAGAACATCCATGTTCTAATTTCTGACATTACCTTTCATTAAGGTGAGCTGACCTTAAACAGTGTCATCCTATATAAGCCATAAAAGCAGAAGAGAGAAGCAGAAGAGTAGGGGTGATACAGATGGGAACCCAGGTAGTTGGATGAATTTCCCCCATAGTCTCAGGCATTAGAACACTTGGTCCTCAGTTGGTGGCTGTTTGGGGAGGTCTAAGAGATTCAGTTTTACTGGAGGCAGTATGTCACTGGGGGAGGGCTTTGATGTTTCAAAATTTCACGCCATTCCCAGTTTCTCTGTCTTTCTCTCTGCTTTGTACTTGGAGTTCAAAATGTGAGCTCTTAGTTCACTGCTCCTGATGCTATGCTGCTGCCTACTGCCACAGTGTCTCCATCACTATGGGCTCTAACACTCCTGACAGCAAGCAATAATAATAAACTCTTTCTCTGTAAGTTGTCTTGGTTATGCTGTTTTAACACAGCAGCTAATACAAAGACCTGGTCATTCTTGTTGGATTTGAAGATGGAGAAAGGGATCATGCACTTAAAAAATGGTTTGATAAGCCTATAAAGGTTGAGAAAGGAAAGAAAACAGATTTTTTTCACCACTACAACATCCAGAAAGAAGACCATATTCACCTTTACTGTAGCACAGTGAGACTGTCAACTTTTGACATGCAAAACTGAAACAACACTTAGTAAGTTTTATGAACAATAGAGGCTATTGCCATTGCCTTTGGTTGCGTTCCAGAATTTGAAGGTAAGACACTATTGTTGAAGCTACCACATACTTAAGACACAAGACTTGGAGAAATTGAGCTGGAACTGACATGGAAACCTATGTAGGATGGGTTCCTGAGTTATCAGAAGATGCCGAGCAACCTGCTAAGGGAGAGGAGCTATTGGTACTCCTACCCAACAATGACTGGACTGGAAAGACACATTGTTACAACGGCAGCATCTTTATCCTGAGAGTAATCAACAGTTGTCTAATTGGACTGAAGGTCTGCTCAATAGGAGGGAACTCAGGCCTGCTCCTGTAACCTAGCTAACTGTAAAGGGCTGGAGAGATCATAGCCACTAAAGGGGAATGAAAAACTTTCATTTTTCCTAAACTAATGTAATTTCAAAACTATATTCTAAATATTTATCCTTATGTCAACAGGTAAGGGTAGCTCTCACCCCACACCAAAGAAGCTTCCCTTCGCAATGGAGAAGACAACTACAGAGACCCACAACTGGCCAAAATGCAGAGAGGGAGTGATCGTGGGATGCTCAGTGCCAGGTGATGCACCTGCCATGCAACTCCTATACCCAGGGCTTAGGAAAAACTGGGGAAGAAGGAACAAAATATAGAAGCTAAACAGTGTTTCTTAGACATGACAGGGATAAAGCACCCATAACATCTCAACAATATGGTTACCTGAACAAGACCAGCATGATGACAATGCCAGTTGACATGCCAGTATGGACAGAGGAGATTCCACATAGTCCTACCCTTAGATGAAGAGCTATAGGTAATCAATGGCTGTAGAGAGATGAGGAATTAATTTCTTCCAGGGACAAGCTACTACATAGGTTGCACAATCCCAAGTGATCAGCCATGGGTGTATATGTCTATTGGTAATACTAAATGGACTCAGTAGGTTTTACACGCACGCACACACACACACACACACACACACACACACACACAGTGAATATATATGTATATTTCATAAACTTGGAAGGAAGAGGGAGGAACACAGGAAGAGTGGGACTGGGGAGATAAGACTGAAAGTGAAATAGATGCAGTACTCGTTTATGAAGTTCTCAATAAATAAAAGTAATAAGAAATAATTAGTTTTATGGCAATCTGCTAGATTAGTAATTCTAAATTAATATGTCAACACAAATTAACATGCATAAATCTTTTGAAAAGTCTCTTCAAACATGATTCTCATCGGGTCTTCCCTACCTTAGAGCATGTCACTTGTGCTCTTCCAGCTGTTGACACCTCAACTTTGAGTCACCCTCAGTGACCGCACCTTCAAGATTCCGTCAGACTTGAAGCATTTCTCAGAATTCCCACCTCTGTCATATAGACAACTGCTAGCCTTTCCCCAAGGATTCGGATGCCAGTTCTACTTTCCTTATTTCTGGCCAGGCAGAACCGTAAAGTCCTCCCCATGGAGCAATCAGTGTGCTGTCTTCATATACTCCTTTCATTTCATGCCACATTTTCATGAGATAAAGTTGCTCGTAGCATGACCTATGAAGTGCCCACATGACTCAGTCTCCAGGAGCCTTCTAAGGACATTCCTCACCATGTTCCTTATTGTCACACTGGCTCTTTTGTCCTCTGCTGGTTCTTGTAGCCTCCAAGTGCCATCCTGCTGAACATTCCATTGCTGCTGCGACGCTCCCAGGATAAATGCGCATGGCTGGCTCCCCCGCCCTCCCCAGCCTTGGCTAACACCGTCTGTGGATGTCGGCCTTCTCAGCACTGTGTCTTCCAGGAGCCTTCTAAGGACATTCCTCACCATGTTCCTTATTGTCACACTGCCTCTTTTGTCCTCTGCTAGTTCTTGTAGCCTCCAAGTGCCATCCTGCTGAACATTCCATTGCTGCTGCGACGCTCCCAGGATAAATGCGCATGGCTGGCTCCCCCGCCCTCCCCAGCCTTGGCTAACACCGTCTGTGGATGTCGGCCTTCTCAGCACTGTGTCTTCCAGGAGCCTTCTAAGGACATTCCTCACCATGTTCCTTATTGTCACACTGCCTCTTTTGTCCTCTGCTAGTTCTTGTAGCCTCCAAGTGCCATCCTGCTGAACATTCCATTGCTGCTGCGACGCTCCCAGGATAAATGCGCATGGCTGGCTCCCCCGCCCTCCCCAGCCTTGGCTAACACCGTCTGTGGATGTCGGCCTTCTCAGCACTGTGTCTTCCAGGAGCCTTCTAAGGACATTCCTCACCATGTTCCTTATTGTCACACTGCCTCTTTTGTCCTCTGCTAGTTCTTGTAGCCTCCAAGTGCCATCCTGCTGAACATTCCATTGCTGCTGCGACGCTCCCAGGATAAATGCGCATGGCTGGCTCCCCCGCCCTCCCCAGCCTTGGCTAACACCGTCTGTGGATGTCGGCCTTCTCAGCACTGTGTCTTCCAGGAGCCTTCTAAGGACATTCCTCACCATGTTCCTTATTGTCACACTGCCTCTTTTGTCCTCTGCTAGTTCTTGTAGCCTCCAAGTGCCATCCTGCTGAACATTCCATTGCTGCTGCGACGCTCCCAGGATAAATGCGCATGGCTGGCTCCCCCGCCCTCCCCAGCCTTGGCTAACACCGTCTGTGGATGTCGGCCTTCTCAGCACTGTGTCTTCCAGGAGCCTTCTAAGGACATTCCTCACCATGTTCCTTATTGTCACACTGCCTCTTTTGTCCTCTGCTAGTTCTTGTAGCCTCCAAGTGCCATCCTGCTGAACATTCCATTGCTGCTGCGACGCTCCCAGGATAAATGCGCATGGCTGGCTCCCCCGCCCTCCCCAGCCTTGGCTAACACCGTCTGTGGATGTCGGCCTTCTCAGCACTGTGTCTTCCAGGAGCCTTCTAAGGACATTCCTCACCATGTTCCTTATTGTCACACTGCCTCTTTTGTCCTCTGCTAGTTCTTGTAGCCTCCAAGTGCCATCCTGCTGAACATTCCATTGCTGCTGCGACGCTCCCAGGATAAATGCGCATGGCTGGCTCCCCCGCCCTCCCCAGCCTTGGCTAACACCGTCTGTGGATGTCGGCCTTCTCAGCACTGTGTCTTCCAGGAGCCTTCTAAGGACATTCCTCACCATGTTCCTTATTGTCACACTGCCTCTTTTGTCCTCTGCTAGTTCTTGTAGCCTCCAAGTGCCATCCTGCTGAACATTCCATTGCTGCTGCGACGCTCCCAGGATAAATGCGCATGGCTGGCTCCCCCGCCCTCCCCAGCCTTGGCTAACACCGTCTGTGGATGTCGGCCTTCTCAGCACTGTGTCTTCCAGGAGCCTTCTAAGGACATTCCTCACCATGTTCCTTATTGTCACACTGCCTCTTTTGTCCTCTGCTAGTTCTTGTAGCCTCCAAGTGCCATCCTGCTGAACATTCCATTGCTGCTGCGACGCTCCCAGGATAAATGCGCATGGCTGGCTCCCCCGCCCTCCCCAGCCTTGGCTAACACCGTCTGTGGATGTCGGCCTTCTCAGCACTGTGTCTTCCAGGAGCCTTCTAAGGACATTCCTCACCATGTTCCTTATTGTCACACTGCCTCTTTTGTCCTCTGCTAGTTCTTGTAGCCTCCAAGTGCCATCCTGCTGAACATTCCATTGCTGCTGCGACGCTCCCAGGATAAATGCGCATGGCTGGCTCCCCCGCCCTCCCCAGCCTTGGCTAACACCGTCTGTGGATGTCGGCCTTCTCAGCACTGTGTCTTCCAGGAGCCTTCTAAGGACATTCCTCACCATGTTCCTTATTGTCACACTGCCTCTTTTGTCCTCTGCTAGTTCTTGTAGCCTCCAAGTGCCATCCTGCTGAACATTCCATTGCTGCTGCGACGCTCCCAGGATAAATGCGCATGGCTGGCTCCCCCGCCCTCCCCAGCCTTGGCTAACACCGTCTGTGGATGTCGGCCTTCTCAGCACTGTGTCTTCCAGGAGCCTTCTAAGGACATTCCTCACCATGTTCCTTATTGTCACACTGCCTCTTTTGTCCTCTGCTAGTTCTTGTAGCCTCCAAGTGCCATCCTGCTGAACATTCCATTGCTGCTGCGACGCTCCCAGGATATCTGTGCATGGCTGGCTCCCCCGCCCTCCCCAGCCTTGGCTAACACCGTCTGTGGATGTCGGGCCCTCTCAGCACTGTGTCTTTGTTCTGCTTCACTTTTCTCACAGCATATGCACCACCTGCTTATCCACTTCCGTGTCTTGCCCCATTTGAGCGTGATGGCTACGACAGCCGAGGTCTAATCTAGTTTTGTGTTGGTTCACGACTACAGTTTCCTTAGTGAGTCACATGAAGTGGTACTGCTATAGTTCCAGCTGGCTTCAAACTCCTGATCCTTCTGTCTCAGTCTCTTTAGGGCTGACATTACAGAAGTTCGTTCCCAAGTTCAGGTTGGTCAATATTTTTGACAGGAAGAATTGATTTTTAAATTTTATCACACCACTTATGGTCTGTCTTACTGCATTGTAAAACAAAAAGCCATCACATTTGACACACTAAATGATCTTCCTTTGCAAAGGAAACCCCAGAAATCATGAAAGAAACTGGAAAGGTGTAAGAACAAGCATGGGGAAAGCCCTGTGGTTTAAATTATGTCAGCTGGGACCAGACTGGCTGGAGTCAAGTCTTATCAAATTGTACCACTTAAACCTGTGTTATCTTTGGCAAATCACTTAATTTCTCTGTGCTTCCATTTTTCATCTGTAAAATAGGAGCAAAAATAGTGCTTGTTTCATGGTGTTGTGAGGATAGAAGGAACTACCACTGGGTAATTTTTGAAAAGTGTCCTTTCATTGTTCTATATAAACATTTATAAATAAAGAAACCTTTTCTTACTTCTATATCTATTTTTTTCCAGATCGAAGAAGAAAAAAATCCCTTTCTAACACTTTTAAGGAAGTATAACATTGAAATTTGGCTTGACAAAGATAGATGCTAAATATCACACCACAAGGCAATTGCACTTTTGAATATAAATACAAACTGAATAAATAGAATGTTAAGAAATAGTCAAGCAGTGGCTTTAGAATATGTCCCAGAGCGATGCAAACTTAGAAAGTAAAGATGATTCATTGCACGAGATTACTTGCTCGTGAGAGGAAAACAACTTTGCTGACATTGTATGGCATTTTCCAAAGGTTAAATTTTCATCCTTACTGTTGGAGAGAACCCGAGAGCTCCTAATTATCTTCCCTTCAAAGGTTTCTCATACATACCCTTGCCTGAACAGTGCTAAAAGAAATATTCTACCAGTTAGGAATATTGATTTAATGTGATAAAATTTTACATCTGCCCTATATTTAACAAACAATATTCAATTATTAGAAGACATTTCAGAAAAAACAAACCGTTTTATTATATTTTCAGTAAGAAACCATCTGAACAAAATTTTCTTTTAGAAGTTTTGTTTAAACTAAACATAAAATGTGACGGTTTCGTTCTGGCATTTTGCTATATACTTTGTTCTTATTAGTCTCCTCTGGACTCTCTCTACCTGTCCCTTGAGACTCTTGTCATGGTCTACTTCCTCTCCCTTACCATCCCCCTTCTGTTTTTAGGTCACATGAGTTCTATTATTCTCTGCCTTTTTCTTCCTCCCTGATGCCTCCTTTAAGACCTTGTCTTCCCCTCTTGTGGTTCCTTTTATAGTCTCAGGACCCCCTCTCCAAAAGACATCCTCACACCCCCCACCTCTGCTTGGGTAAACACCAACCCAAGGATTTGAGAGGTACCCCTTCTTCTTCTTCTTCTTCTTCTTCTTCTTCTTCTTCTTCTTCTTCTTCTTCATCTTCTTCTTCTTCTTTTTTTGAGAGGTACCATTTCTAAACATGATAAAGTCTTACTTACAAACACAAGAGCAAGAAACCAACAGTGGCAGAGACCAACGGTGATAAAAGCAAGTTTAAGTGGATATACCTGTGCCCTCTCAGAGTCTTAGGAATGATTCCCCAAGTATCAGAGATGAAGCTGAACCTGCCAGGCAGGACTGAGGGGTCTCTGACAGAAAGCTGAGTTCTGAGTAGATATACCTCTCAGCATGAAGGGTATACTTACTCAACTTGTTTGAATTATTGAACTTAGTGGCCATCATCCCAACTGCAGAGATTGCTAACAAAGAGGAGGAGAAGCCAGATTCATCCCGAATTAGCCAGGGTTCTCTAGAAGACATAAACCAATAGAATGAGTACATATTAAAGGAGAATTATTAGCATGGCTTACAGGATACAATCAGAGTAGTCCAACAATGGGTGTCTCCTGCCTGAGAGGTGAGAGAGAATGTTAGTTGCTCAGTCCATGTTACCAGATGCCTCAGACGTTCTAATTTATTGGTCCTGGAAGATTCCTGGAGAACTGGAGAGCTGCCACTGTTTAGTCCACACCGGAAGTGCAAAGAGACTGTGACATCAGTGAAGGACTCATCAGTAGCAGCAACAAGGCAGATGAATTTACCAGTGAGGGTGAAAGGCAAGCAACCATAAAACAAGAATCATTGTCTTTCCATGTCCCTTTATCTGGATTACTACAGAAGTTGCTGCCCAGTTAGAGTGGGTCTTTCCACACCAATTAAGGCAATCAATATAACACCCCCCCCACATACACATGCTCACAAGTCATTTGGCAATAAACAGCTCCCTCCCAGGCATGCTCACCAACCATTCAGCAATCAGTACACCAGACATGCTCATCAGCCATTCATTCAACAATCAATATTCTTGCCACACACAGACATGGTCACCTGCCATTCAGCAATCATTTCCACCCCCAGACTTGCTCACCAGACACTCTGATCTAGATAATATTTCTTGGAGGCTCCTTTTCTCTGTGATGCTGCATCTTATCAAGTTGACAATTAAAACTGACAATACACATACCAATGAAGAAAAACACCACTGAAGTTATAATGTCTTTCATTTCATTTTATTTCTTATTTTTTAGTTTTATTTTATTCTTTTGATTTATACTTTTGTAGTTCATTTGTTTAGTTGTTTTGCTTTCAGGGTTTTTATGACTCATTTCTCTTTCTCTCCATCTATTCGATGGTATTTTCTCACTCCTCTAACCCGTATTCTTTGTCTCTCATTCATGTTTTACTCTCTCTTTCCCCCTTTCTTACTTAGTTTATTATTAATTGATAGCCTTAGCTTTAAAAAACATATGAACTGCATTTTTCCCAGGTGGCACCCCCTGACCCCAGTAATGCAGCTTCCAAGTCTTGTTGAAACACAAGTGAATAGGCAAGTGCATTTTATTCCAAGTCAAGCTTGCAGCTTCTATTAAATCATTTGATCTGATACAGCACCAAGCAGGCTCACTAAGTGAAGGCAAAGACTCATGGAAAAGAAAACAAAGAAACAAAAAGAGCAGGGAAGGGGAAGCTAATAAAAAGTAGAGGGCAAAATACAGATGTGCAAAGAACAACAGAGAAACACACAAAATATGCTCGAACAAGCATATGGAGTAGCTGTAGAAGCTCGAAGCTCCTCAGCGCTGAAGACAAAAACAATGAGACAACTCAGATGTCAGAAAAGGGTTTCAGCACCTTACACTAAAGAAGAATCAATGGCTTCATAGATGGCACACGTCAACAAAGTAAGAGAATCAATTCAGAATCTACTCAAGAACATTATCAGTGTGGAGGAAATGGTCAGCAATTCAGTAGGGAATTTTTTTTTTAAATGTCAAGCATGAATTCAGCAAGGAAATTGAAACTGAAGAAGGAAAAACCAGGAATTCTGGAAGCAAAAGATGAAATGAATCAAGAAAGGGGAAAAAGGAAAGCATCACTAAGAAATAAGCAAACAAGCTGAAATAGAATCACAAATTTCAAGAATGGAGGACAATAATACACTCAGACACACGTGAGGACAAAAATTGACATGCACAATACAAATATATAAGAACTCCAGAACACTTTCAGTCGACCAAACCCAAGAGTATCTGGGATTGAAAGGATACCAGCAAGGTGGGGTTTAAATGAACCCACAAGACCCAAGATGAATGATTAACAGGTATTTATTAGGGAAAGGCTTACACAATTAATAGTAAATAACCATCGCAGTCTTCCTGCTCCTGAAGACTCAGTCTCTGCCTTTCCGGAGTTCCTACTACCACCACTACTGTTCCTTATAAGGGGTCACTTCTGCACACCTGAAGCCATGCCCCTAGGATGTGGCCATCACCTCAAGTCCACTGTTGAAACAAGATGTCACTACAATAGCATAAAAATCAAATGTATAAATTATTTATTCCACAAAATAAGAACAAAATTTTCCCCAAATCCAGAGAAATGAATGAACAGCTAAGCATCTAAGAACCCTAACCCCAAACAGCAACATATTATAGACAAAAATGCCAAATATTCAAAAGGAAGAAACTATATTAAAAGATGGAAGGGAAAAAATGCTGCACTCCTTAAGGTAAACAACAGCAAAAACACACCAGGTTTCTCATCAGCAACCCCTAAAGCCAGGAAAGCAAGAGATGACATATTACAAGGCACGAGCCTGGACCCCGCAGTGCCCAGTCACACAATACACCTCATGGGATGAGGTCAATAGTAGCTGCCAAGTGGATGTTTCTTCTCCAGGACCCAGGAGTTGGAAGCATAGTGACAAAGACCAAACAGGGATGGCTACACCATGGGTAGAGAGATCAGCCTGGGCTGTGATAATGAGTTGGAAATGCGATGCAAAGCAGAGTTTTACTAACCTTTTATTCAGCTCCCTCTTTTATAGGACATTGTCTATTGATTTTTCTCCTGAATCCTCAGTTTTACTAGGTTGCTTCTAATTTTCCATCTTAACTGAAAGAATTTTTTAAGTTTTTAATCTTCAACTCAGAGACAAAATTTCCTTTAAATTTACCATTATTAGGAAGAAAAGAGCTTGAGGTAATTTTCACTCAAATTATATTAAGGTGTTTACGATAAGACATGCCAATAGACAAGATCAAAATTAAATTGTTACCAGAAACTTCGGGAAGCCCCGTATTAGGTCCCTTATTTTACTGGGAAAATTGCAATTCCCTCTTGGGTTTTTAGTCTTTTTAATAAAATAATTTAAAAACAGACTTAGAAGAAAGCAAGTAGAAATTTTTTATTAGCATTTAAGGGAAGAAAAACAGGGCAGGCAGGTTGTAAATGTTGTAAGACAGAGAGCTATGCCCTGCCCTCCTTTGTAAGCAGCCACATTGTGAAAGGCGAAGGAGGGGCTTGAAAGAAAGAGTGAGGAAGCCTAAAGTGTTAAGGAAAAGCATGCTTACATAAAAGATAGAGAGGAGGAAAAGTGAAAGAGAAACTTAAGCTTTTCTAAGTTAGGACTCAGAAAAATGGTCATACGTCACAAGGCTACATGATGAAAAGCATGCAAGCAGCTGCACGGAGAGCAGGGCTTCTGGGAAGGAAAAGTAGAACATCTCATTAAGGGGATAATTATTCCTCTCATCTCCTTAGCAAGGCAGCCTTCCTGAGGACTGGTCTCTTGGTCAGGTGACTGACACACCCAAATGGATTAACTCAAAAGGGAGGAAACAACAGTATGGAATGTTATAATCTTTGAAGTAGATCAGGTTGCCTCATCTCCTCAGGGCCAGAGGTGAATTTCCATTGTGGAATAATCCCTCCTCAATGACCTTTTAGGCTCCTAAAACAAACAAATAAACAACAATAAAAACAAACTACCCTGTTTTGTTTCAATATTTGTATACGTGAGACATGCGTGGGATATGTGGACATTTGTGTGTATGTGTGGGGGTGCATTTGCCCAAGTGTGTGTCTATGCAGAGGCCAGTAAAGGAAGTGGGATGTCCTGCTTTAGCTTACTTCCTTATTTCTTTGAGACAGGGTCTCTCATCGAATCCGGAACTAAGCTGGTAGCCAGCAAGATTCAGTGATCTTGTCTCTGAAAAGCCCTACTAGTACTGGAGTGATAGGCACACACACAACCATGATCACGTTTTTGTAGGTCCTGAGGATTTGACCTCAGTTCTTCATGCTTGCACAGCAAGTACTTTTACCCATTGAGCCATTTCCTAATGGCTTTTAATGTTGTGTTTTTGTGCTATATTCATTATTATCCACTGTATTAGCAATTAAAGTAGAAATCCTAAAAATATTTACTGATATTCAAAGACAGCAACCATGAACCCAGCTAGCATTAAAAACAATTAACTTATTTTTTATTTTAGTAATGGGTTCGGGAGACTCTCCCAGTTGTTTAATTGACTATGCTTTGAAAACTCCTGGTCCAAAGCAATTTGTACTCCAATCTCATGAAGCATGGCCAATGCTTAGCATAGTGCCAGCTTTAGGTGTGACAACATTATCTCCATTCAGGCAGTGAATCTAGAGAATTCTACTTACGACTTCTGAGATAGCAGAGTTCTCTGCAAACCAGAGGAGGTGTATTAGTTCTTATATTATTGTTGTGACCAAATATATGCTAAGAAGCAAGTTAATGCAGACAGGGTTATTTTTGCTCACTGTTTGAAGGGATGCAGTCCACCATGGGGAGGAAGACATGGAAACGGGAATGGCTCAAGGCTGTGGTGGTTGAGTGTGGTGAAACTGTTCATATCCCCTTAGTGGTTACAGAATGGAAACTGGGTTTGTGAGGGACTGTAACTCTGAAAGCCCACGCTCAGCAATCCATTTTCTCCAGCCAGGCTTGACTTCCTATAGGCTCCACAACCTACCAAAGCAGCACCTCTATCTGGAACCAGCCATAAAAAACACTTGAGTCTGTAGGAGACACTTTAGCATTCAAACCACAGCAGGAGGCAACCCTCCGTTCCCACCACCCCACCTTTTTAAATATATATTGTAAAGGCAAGAGGCAATGGTTTGAGGGACCATTCCAGGTTTTTCTTGTTTTTTAGCCTATGTATTTATCCTCCAGTTTTGAGATAATAGGCAGGGGCTCCAGGAGTGTAGGTAAAAGACCAAGAATTATAATTATTTGTCAGTGTAAGAAAAGCAAAGGGAATGCTTCTCAAAATCATCAATGAGGATAGAAACCCTAGGATCCAGAGCCCAGTCCATCAGTGATTCTGAAGAAGCCACCTGTCTGTGCAAGGGGGTGGATTTCTATGGCATCCCATTCTATCATTGTGGGCTCAAAATCGGTTTTATTTACAGTTGAGGAAACCCTAACTGACTGATAAATTTCTATTAATTCATGTGATAAGACACAGCACTATGGTATAAATTCTCCCTGCTTTCCCCTGGATCATATAACATGTACATTAACTTATGTATACATTCTTTGGAGTAGCTTTAGGGTTGGAGTTCTTAAAAGAAGAAATTATATGACATACATATTTAATAATTTACAGAATTCATCTTAATAGCTTTCTAATATTTTGTGATATGAATATGCTGCCATTTGCCCCTATTTTTGGTCATAGACATTGATTATAGGTTTTATCACAATTAATAAGGCAGGCATCATTTTTATACAGAAATTATTTTTTAAAATGTTTGAGATTATAATGTCATCACAACATTTCTCCCTCCAAATCCTCTCATATATCCTTCCTTGTATTCTTTCTATTGTTACTACATATGTACACATGTTCCTAAATATAACCTATTCAGCCCATATATTGATACTTGTATGTATGTTTTCAGGGCTGCCCATTTGGCATTGGCAGGTTCTTTCCTGGGAAAGAATATAACATAGACAATGTAATATAAACAGTGTAAACCCAGAGACAGATATTGGGGTTCAGGCTTCAAGCTGAAGATCAGAAAAGCAAAACAGCTAAGCCACTGGCTCTTATCTCTACCTCAGACCAAAATGGATGGTCTTAAATCTCCAGAGTATAATGCTTTCTCTGTCTGAACTGAATCTCACATGCGACCCTTTGTTTCTTCATTTTATACCTTCCTAGTGCTGGGATTAAAGTTGTGAACTCTGTTTCTCATTTAGACTGATTCACTCTCATGTAGCCACTGCCTGGCTCTGTGGCTGTGGCTACCTTTGCATTTTGATCTCCAGTGGCTTTATTAAATTATAAATAATATATCACCACAATTTCTCCCGTTTCTAACATGTCTTAGTTGACTGCAGTTCTGTGGAGAGTTGAGACCTTTTAAGCTTCCCCTATCCACTTTGGCTTCTCCATTATTGTTGTCCTTTCTTGTTCAACTTGGGTTTGGCAGTCATGTTGGTGAGACTTTATAGGTGTAGGTTCTGACATTGCTAGGAGACACAATCTCACAGCAAACCCCTGATCCTCTGGCTCTTAACAGTCTTTCCACCTCCTGCAATATTCCTTGTTGTTCTAATGTTGCCTGAGATATGTAAGTGTTTTATAGATATATCCATTGGGAATGGGCTCCACTTGACATTTTGATTAGTTGTTATTTCCTGTAGTGGTTTCTATCTGTCACAGAGGAGTTTCATTGGTGAGGGGTGAAGACATTTATCTGTAGTTATAAAGACAAATATTTAGATTCTTGAGAGGGATTATTCTGGTTTAGTAAAATAGTGGTTGTAGATTCTTCTCCAACACCAATGGTTTCACTAGCAATGAGTGGTTAGCTAGGTTTCCAGTACCAGCTGTGGTATCCTTCTTGTTGAGTTGATCTTAGGTCCAATTAGAGAGCTGGTTACTTCCAAGGCATGTGTGCCACTACTGCACCCTTAGGGTTATTGTGCCATGCTGGTAGTTGCTGTGGTTCATAGATGTCAAAGCTGGGTAGGACGGTTGGTTACCTTCCTCCCTTAGAAACTTGCATGGTGCCTCATGGTACCATGAAAGTCAATCCTCATGGAGGAGGAATTTATCGGCCAGACCCAGAGCAGGGGTATTTGAACCTGTTTTTGAAATGAATGATGTCTTCAGAAATAGGGACTTATCTTCCACCAGGAGGGCAAATAAGGCTGTATGCTTTGGGAATGTCTTGGACAGCCCTGGTCAACAACTCAAAGAGGGTTTCTCAAGTCTGATATTGGATTCTTTTGTTAGGTGATCTTTGACTCTTAGAGGAAGCATTATCATTCAAGATGAGAAAGTTCATTAAAAATTATATATGTGCATTCACAAATAGAATTATACATATTATAAGTTTATTTAGGTAAATAGTTAATGATATGATTCCTTGTGGCTTTTCAGATATCTTTATAGTTAATTTACCTTACCACCTGTAACAAGAGGTTCTCCATCATTTCCCCTACTTTTTCTTATACATAAATTCTTAATCTGTTACTTTTATGCTGGTAGGACATATTCCCATAGCTTGAATTGCTTATCAATTATTCTTCAAAGTAATATACCAGAGCCCCTCTGCTTGTAATAAAATGAGTTACATTAAAAAGTAATTCTTAAAAAAATTATGGGTATCTTTAGATGAAGAAGTAATTGAATAAGGAATAAACAACAAAACTCCAGACCGCCAAGAGAAGACTGGAAGAACACTGAGTTCAAAAGTAAGGCTGGAGGAGAGCACATCATAATTTCTTTCACTAACCAAAGTACCTACCCAATTGCCCAACTGTTTCAGGAGGAGACTATGGATGGAGAATAGGTGGGTACTTGGGGCTTCCCTTTAGAAACATTTCCTCTTACTTTGACATATCTAGAAAATAAATTTTACCAGCTATGCCTAATTACCAGTAGCTGCATAAACTGAACACTTTACTTTTCAGACAAAATATCTTACTCTTAGTGAGGTTAGATATTTTATTATTAATGAGAAAAGTGGCTCTAGAAATCAGATTAGAAGATTAAACCCTGGAAAACTTGACTTTAAAAATACCTTATGGGTCATTTAAGAAAGGAAAATGTCCTTCTGTATCTATGTTTCTCTTATTGGTTGATGAATAAAACACTGATTAGTCAGTAGCCAGACAGGAAGTATAGGTGGGGCTACCAGACTAGAAGAATACTGGGGAGAGGAGGTGGAGAGGGGCCGCCAGGGAGATGCCATGCTGCCAAAGGTGCAACATGCTGGATTATGGGTAAGCCACAGCCTGGTGGCAATACATAGATTAATAGAAATGGGTTAATAATTAAGAGAAAGCTAGCCAAAAGAAGCCTAGGCTAAATCAAACAGTTTAATCATATGTCTCAGTGTGCTTATTTGGGGCTACACTGCTGTGGGACCAGGCAGAAAAGAAACTCTGATTACATATAGACTCAACAGTGCCTTGTTTAGGACAGAGAACTAATGAAGGAGTCTTTAAGGTTCCCATGTGACAGCTATGTAAATGACTCTAAATGAGGAGAAGGAGGTCGTGACCTGAGCATGAGAATATTTCTCTACTATTATCCACACACATATAGTCATGTGTACTAGAAGTTACAATAATGCCTAATGCATATAAGATACCATATTATGTCCCCACTTAGCACTACTGTTTCCTCTTCTGTATGGAATAAAAGTCAAGGATAACATCTAGAAGAAATTAGTGATTGAAGTTATGCAAATTCCTTCAGATAATATGTACTTTCTAACAGTGTCCTAAGCCATTCATAAGCAGCACCTCATTCTCTCCTCATAAAGCTCAGATGGCTCTGTGTTTCATCGTTATGGATCTTGGAGGTATAAACAAAAGTCACAAGGGCATTTATTACAACTAACCAAAACATGGGAAAAGAGTGTTTTGTGATTAAATTATTTGCACATTTTCAACTACCCTTCTGTTTTTCCCAGGAACACAATCTTGACCACATTTCCAGAAACAGACAGAATATTTATGTTCACACATTACTACTCTTCTCACAAAGGTAGCCCATCTACAATAAAGGATCATGATTTTTCTTGCTTGATGCTACATCATGTGATTTATAAAACACAGCTTCTTTTGGTCAGCTAATTGTATTATATTAATACCTTCTTTGATTGTTAGTCACAAATTAAATTCTATGATTGTTCAAATTTATTTCTTAGGCTTCTAGTGACAAGTCAGAAGCAGATAAGTCACTAGGCATGCAGACACGGCAGCCCATTAAATAATACTTCCCTCAGAAACACCTCTGCCACCAACATCATCCTAGCAGGCATTTAATCGGAAGTATATTTCTGTGTTTCACTATCCGTTGTCATTATTTGGGAAATGGAGCTTATTCTCTGGATTCCTACAACAAAAGAAAATTATGGGTGTTTTCTCTCTCTACTGCAATCCTTCCCTTCCACTAATTAAGCGGTCATTTTGGCCCTTGCACTTTGAAGTTTCACTCATTACCTGGCTTCTGTAAGTCAACAAAAGGCAACATCTAAAGCCCCTAGTGTTGGACCATCGCTTTGGGAACTGCTAATTGAATGTAATTACTTCATTTTGTGCCGGAGTCCATACTTGTAACATTGCCTTGTAATAATTTAAACTGTCTGCATACTGTAGGGGACTGTTTGACGCCAGTGTGGAGACGGTCGGGCAGCCACTTGGGCTGTGGAAGGAAAGTCAGAAGTGAGGAGACATTGTCATTTGGCTACCTACTCATTAGCTGCCCTCGATGGCTGTCTGTTGTTTTGAGTGGACAGGATGTGTAGTGGCTGAATCTCGCCCCTAAAAATAACTGTGAAAACAGGCATTTGGGGTGTACAGTAATTGGTTGCTCAGTTGATCGCAGATACTTTTATAGAACTTGGGGAAAGACAAGATATTTTTAAACCCTGACCTTGCTTGGCAACACCACTTCCCTTACCCCCCCCCTTCCCTTCTAGGAAAGAAGAGGTGTGACAAGACGGGTAACAAATAACAAAAGGAAAAAGCCCTATAAAATCAATCTCTCTTCCTAGTCTCAGTTGAAGAATTGGATGGTGTAGAAGAATAAAGCTGACGTCCCTTGCTATTTTCCTGATGTGATATTTTTGCCATCACCTTGCTCCCAACAGAAATTACCACCCAGGCTTTGCATCCCAGATGAGAAAGCATCAAGCCTGAAGCGGTGTGAGAGCTTCACAAAGAACCCCGAGCCACATGCGAAGCACAGTGGGCATCAAGGTTTTGCCTCTACTTGACTATTAATCTTATGTTCAATTTAACTCCACTGGCCCTAATGACAGGGCTTCCAGCAGACTGTTTGAGGACCTGGGAAATGAAGGCATCTTCCTCAAGCGTCAGAAGCCCTCCCCATTTGGTTAGTGGTGCCAGCACGTCTCCACCCCTGGAAGTTAGATCTGACTTTCGCCTTTCACTCTCAAATTACATTCAAGGTTAGAAAGAAGAAAGAAGACAATAATTCAGAGAGAAGGGTGAAGTGTATGGCAATGAGAAAAAGTGCTTAAAAATGAATGAATATGTTGGATAAAACTAAGTATAAACCTTGATTTACCCCAAGTGGTCTCTCACTTCTTTACGATTGTAAAAATAAGACGAATTCCAGGGTGTTTAGACATTTGTCCAGAATTCAGATTTGTCAGACAGCTTTTCTTTCCTTATTTTTAGGTTTGTGTTTTATATAAGTATTACAGAGAGCTGATAACAAAACACACAGTGGAGCTTATAAGAACATGAGAGCTAGTTTATATCTTGGTCCAGATGCTACAGTATGTTTCAGTTTGTAATTCTGCAATTGTTTCTTTCTTGACCATATATTCTGGCTTTATCTGATTCATAAAATACTTTGTTCTGCTGTTATGAAAGCAATGATTTCCTTGACCATACTATCCCATTTTCCCATATACTCATTCATATCAGTGGTCAGTGCTTATTTATCAATATTTTACTCATGACACTTTCATAACTTTTAATGTGTTATATTTTATTATTTCACTAAATTTTCAGACTATCTCTCAAATCTCACTTTGTAAAATGAGGGTATTGCATTTTAACCATTGCTCCAACCTTGTCTCGATATTCTGTGTTTTCTGTCTATTGGTATTATAAATTTTCATATTTTCTTCTTCCTTTTCTTACATCTTTGAACTGCCTGGCAATATAAAGTCCTGGTACATGTTTTCTTACAGGAATGTTACAAAGTTGGGGATCAGTTGTGAGTTTTCTATTATTATAGCTATATAAATACTATAAGGTGGCTTAAATGACATTCAAGTATCTTATTTCCACATTTACAGTTTCATTGCTACCATTTGGAGACAGGTTGAAGGAGGGAGCTTGTTCATTAGCACCAAAGTTAAATGGCTTCAACTTTGTGCTTTATCAATTTCCTAAAAAATTAAAATCGTGTTTTGTAATGAAAACTCTTTTTCTAGCTGCCTGAATTCTGCCTGTGGCTTTAGGGCCACCAAAGAACACACAGAATCTTATATTATTTACAATGCTGCTGGCCAATGACCAGGATTTCTTTTCTGCTAGCTTAGTCTTAATTATCAACCATAACCATTAATCTATATATTTTATAAAGACTTATCTTATCGAGGATGCTGACAGAATGCGTCCTCTTCCCAGGATCACATGGCTACTCCTGTCTTTACTACATTTCCCAGAATCCTCCTTACTCCTATCTCCACCTATCTTGCTTTCTTATTGGCCAACAGTGCTTTATTTATCAACCAATAAGACTAACATATACACAGAAGGACTTCCCCATCAATGTTTCACTCGAGTTTCTTGTTTGAAGCAATGTCTTGTTCTTAAGTTCCTAACATTATTTAATTCTTGAGGTATTCTGCCCTCCACCCCATATTTTCTATCCGGTCATCCATTGCTAAGTCTTACCCACCTTTTATCTTTACTCAATGGAGTCCCCTGTCAGAAGCTACAGCTTGCACTGAGAGGCTGGCAGCATTGCGAAGGTTTCTTAAACTGGACACACATAACACTCCCTGGCCTTGAAAACTTGGCCTCCAGAGTCAGATGAAATCTATTTTATGCTTTAACTTGATGAAACATTCTTGGGAAAATCCTCTGATGTATAAAGCTACTCAGCCCTTTATGGTGTGTTAGGAAAAGGCTTTCACTTAGTCTGAATGTGAGTTTATTGGTAAAGAATCTAGGTTGAAATTGTTTTATCTCAAAATTTACGAAGCTTATTCCATGTCTTCTAGCAGCTTATTAATTTGAGAGAAGTTTCTTCTTAAAATGCCTTTTAGTACAAAGTCTTAATTATCAAATGGTCAACCTGTGAAGAAACAGAGCAGGAAAAGTATGATTAATAAAATCAAACCTCAACTGATTCTTTGGTGGTCATTTTTTTTCCTGCACAGTATTTTAATGATTTATAATTAAAATAACAGTAAGATGTGATAGACTAAAGTGTAAGTATATCTATAACTGATTCTGAAAATGAAAAAAATTATAAGCAAGTATGAAAAAGAAACAATAGTGAAAACTTTAAAAAATGCAGCTAGAGAAGCTGGCTCAGTGGATAAAGAACACATGGCACAAGTCGGAGTTTAACTGATAAAGTACTTGCTCGTGGAGTGACAGCCATCTTTAATTCCAGCACTTCAGAGGTAGAGACAGGAGATTCCTGGAACAAACCAACTAGCTATTAGTGAGCTCAAGGTTTGGTGAGTGACCACACCTTAGTAGACACAGTCGAGAGCAATTTTGACAAACACATAACACCAAATTCTGGCTTCCACATGAAAATATGAGCAACTTGAACACTTGTGTGCTTATACACATGTAAACTCATACATGTGCACATGAACACCACACATAAACACATGCATAAATACACACACACACACACACACACACACACACACAGTGGTATAAGAGAAACTTTTGGGCTGAAATATAAAATAAAAAATATTGCAAGGCAAATCAACAACAAAATTATTTGCAAAATAGCTACAGAAAGGGGTAAGAGATTCTGTTATTGTGGTATTTCAAGAATAAGAAGTAACCTAAAATGTATCACACAGAGCAAAAGTTCTAAAGGTGATTTGCAAAATATGAAAATAGAAATACAAAGTATGGAAAAATACTTACTTTCC